CCACCCCCACCCTCCCGCCGGCGCCGTGCAGATTGTGCAGCGTACCGAGACGTCGTTCGTGCGCACGGGGGAGCTGGAGCACCCGTACCCGCCGACCAAGATCATGTGGTCTCCAGACAAGTCGCTAAATAGCCCAGACCTCCTCGCCACGACCGGTGAGCGACGGCAGTGACGGCAGTGAGGAGGGATTGTTGTTGATGCCGGTACTACTGCCGTACATGTCTGGTTGACTGAAAGACTTGAGATACATCGCCTTCCCAGGGCGCTCTCAACATTGCCCCGCGACAGGTGCGGTATGACATGGTACAGCAGCATGGTGTTGTTTGATGTGGTTGTGACATTGTACACAACTCCTTTTCCTTCCCGGGGCAGCTTAGATGGGGAGTATGCTACATGTGCGGTGGTGTAGTATGCACTCCCGGGGCATGATTCGGTGCGTTTCTGCGTGGCAGTTCGGGCTGTACAGTACGGTGGTCTAGTGGGTAGCCTCACAGCCTCCTAAGGGCCAGGTCATGGGTTCGAGTCCCGACAGAGAGATTTTTTTCTCGCTAATTAAATCCTGGTCTCCGTTGGAAGCGACGCGCCGCAAAGCTCGTTGTTAGTAAACTTGATCGACTTCATATGTCGCGAGGGAAGGGATTGCTGTACCTTTCTCGCGATAAAAATATCTCAGGCAGGAACCGCAGGAGGGGGTCTAACCTCCCTCTCCTATATGACCCCGGTTGGGTCGTCTAGCTGGTAGAAGTGGAGGATAGGGGCCGGTGGGGCAGACGACAGAGTCCAATGATGGGAGACAAAAAAAAAAAACGTACCATAGCATTATGTTTGATAGCCGAGCGACCCTCTCTGTGCTTTTCTCCCGCGCCTCCGTTTTTCTGCGAAACGACCAGGGGATTACCTGCGATTGTGGAGCGTGGATGAGCAGGAGCCAGGCGGGGTAAAGCTGCACTCCCTTCTCAATAATGTGAGCCTTGGGGGTGCTCTGTGTGGTGACATTGCATCAAAATGAATCTGGCAACCATGATAGTTTGTGTTGTGCAGTAGTGTGGTCTTTGCTCATGAAGAATGCGGTGGACA